AACTATAATCCATCGAACTAGAGGACAAGTAAACATCCCCAATCTATTTGTTTACAGAATGTTCATTATTGGATTACAGGTCTCAAAATAATATTAGCAAAGACATGCATTTCAGACCGGCTTTGGGGTTAACCCAACCTCCTATTCAATGGGTACCTGGGGCTCTTTCCCCGAAGGTAAAGCGGCCGGGGCGTGACGCTGGCCACTAACCCCCAGCAAGTGCCGATGTCAAGAAAATGTGGATCTATATATACACTCCCCCATACGCCTTCATGGCAAAGTGCTTAATTAGTTTAGAACAGGGACAATTATACCTTATGCATTTCTATAGGTAGCTTACACACAGTAGGGCGGATCGAAAGTTACTTTCATGTACGAGTACAATGAACTGCTTGCAGAAATTGAGCTTACTTACTCAGGGAGCTGAGCCCTTCTGGAGGAGCCGTCAATTCTGCAGCTACTCAAGAATTTTCCAGCATTTTATGGAACCCGAAGGTTCATTACCGTGTTCACAAGAGCCCTCCACTGGTCCCTATCCTGAGCGAGATCAATCCAATCCCTACCATCCCATCCTATCTCTCTAAGATCCATTATAATATTGTCCACCCACCTACGCCTTGGTCTTCCCTGTGGTCTCTTTCCTCCTGGCTTTCCCACCAATATCCTACACGCATTCCTCGTCTCCCCCATTCGTGCAACATGCCCTGACCACATCATCCTCCTTGACTTGATCATTCTAATTATACTTTGAGAAGAGTACAAGTTATGAAGCTCCTCATTAACTTGTTTGGATCATTACAGAAAAGTTTTGCGAGCCGTCAATTAAAACCTGATTTTGAGGACACGGAAGCAACAGGGGCATAATTCCAGGCAGAGGGTAAGCTCTTTCAAGATAACATCCATAAACTGTTGTGGCGACGGGTGTGTCAATGTGCAGGGCGATTATGTGGGAAAGTGATTTTAGTGTGGGCTAAAAATCTTGAATGTGTAATACGCTGGTTTTCTGTATTATCTCAGATAAATAAATTTACGAAAATGGCTTTCTGGGAAGAACTACTGGGATTCAACTGTTCAAATAACTTTCTGTCCAACGGGTACCAGGCCGAAGTATTTCGCAAGCTACTCGCCTTCTTCTGGTATTGATGTCACTACTACATCCGCATCCCACTGTGATCAGCTCAGACAGATGCAAAATTACACATAAAACACATTTTGTGTTGATAGTTAAAACTATTATTTTTTACTGCTAGTGGGGTGGGACTAAGTCCCTTGTACTGCGGCCACTTCTGGCCTATTGTACCAGCCCCAGATGATAGGTGAGGGTGATTGTGAAACAATTGGTGGAATGAAGATTGGCAGGGGAAACGGAAGTACTCGGAGAAAGCGTACCCCAGCGCCATTTTGTCCACCACAAATCCCACTTGACCAGACTCGGGATCGAACCCGGGCCGCCGCGGTGGGAAGCCAGAGACTAACCGCTTGAGCTATGGCGCAGCCATATATGAGTAGTTAAAACTAACTCCGTACGTAACTTATGCTGGGGTATTTTGCGAACCAGAGGCGGCAGTTTTATAGGTGAGCATGCCATTTGCCTGTCGGCCACAGGAGCTGCGGGGTGTAAGGCATGAACTGTCTTCGCCCACTCGAACTCGGCCTATATTCTGAAGAAGTTACCCCACAGCACAATATCACTACCGCAGAGGAACAACAAACAACACACATAAAACACACTGCGTCTCGAATACAAAATGCAGTCGGTTAATCATGTCTCGGGAAATAATTGTCTACACTCGCTCGAAACCTGCGATCGTTGGTTTGAATCCCAATCGAGGCATGGATGTCTGTGTACGTTTATTCTGTTTTTGTTGTTGTGTGTGTAGGAAGCGGCCTTGTGACTGGCTGATCCCCGTCTTAAGAGTCCTACCGTCTGTGTAAAAATGATTATGAAAATGAAGAAGAGGGCAGGGCCCAACAAAATGGCTGTAGAGCCACTGGTGAATGAATGAATGCCAGATGTCTGCATCAGTACGCCCTACTGTATATGTAACTGTTACTTATTGTGCCTCGACTTGATAAAAATATTAAACAATTAGTACCGGTACATAACGACAATATTTATATTTCACTAATATTCAATAACAGCCGGTCACGGTAGCCGAGCGGTCTAAGACATGCACTGTCTTCGCTCGCTCGGAAGCCGGGATCGTGGGTTCGAATCCACTCAGGGTATGGATGTTTAATTTGTGTGTGTGCGTTTTTCTGTGTTTGTGTACAGGTAGAGGCCTTGCGACGAGCTGATCACCCGCCCAAGGAGTTCTACCGAATGTGTAAGATCTAGAAAAACCGAAGTGAACGGAGAAGTTCATGGAGGTAGGCCTAGGCCCACTGGGGCTGTAGTGCCAAGGGGGGGAAAAAAATCAATAACAGCAACAACAACAACAACAAATAAACGTCGCATAATCTTGTTTAGATTTTCATGTCATGAATCACATGTCCCACCAAGATGATGAAATAGTGTTTCCAAGTACGACACGCCAGAGTCCTTTAATGTACGTGTACTTTCCAGTGCTTCACTTAGTCATCTTACTAATGAGGCTTTGTAACTACCGGTACGCAGGCGCTAAAGCGCGTTTAAATAACCAGAGAATCAATCAACGAATCAGCGGAAGGTGATAATGATAATAACAATGTTTAACAATAAGTTCTGGGAAGAACTAATCGCCTAATTTCCTTTCATTACTGTTGGAGGATAGAAATTTTAATATTTTAACGTGTATCGCTAGGCAATCGCGTAAGAGCGCTCAACAATGGGACGGATCTTTATAGCTCGTTGCTAGGCAACAGTTAGCGTGCCAATGAGCTGTCGAGATGGCTATCACGTGACTGGCTTTCTATGGAGTCTGTGCCTTGACCGTTGCTATGCTATCGTTCCGTAAACAGGTTTAAACAATATAGGATGTTTTCTGTGCGTGGTCGGTGCGGAGGCTATATAACGACAGTTACATCTCAAATCTGAGACAGTAAAATATGGTCGAAAATCCCAAGGGACTTCGACCCAAGAAAGACTGCGCTGGCAAGAACCAGCAGCATATACAAAATACAGACCCGTCCTCTCGTCAGAGAGGGTGCCCCACAGAAGCAAGACCGTAACTGTCAAACGGTAATAATTAATATCTGGTCATGAGCCCCAGATGGGGCTCGACACCAAGACTCACTGACTGACTGACCGTCAGTCGCAATGTGACCTGGACTTTGACTTATAGCAGGTAACAAAACAAAAAACAAGACCGTAACTGTCAAACGGTAATAATTAATATCTGGTCATGAGCCCCAGATGGGGCTCGACACCAAGACTCACTGACTGATTGACCGTCAGTTGCAATGTGACTTTGACTAGCAGCTTTCAGTTTTTAAGTGTTCAGTTGTAAGCGGGAGGAGCGAATTGAAACGATAAGTACAGGAGAGTACAGGAGGTCGACATGTGAAGACTTTGCGTGTGAATTAGTTCCTGTGTTATACATCCTTGAAGACTAGTGGAGATAGGCTGAAGAGATTAGTGTGGTTTGATCGTAAATTCTGTAACTCAGCAAGAGTGTAATAATTATTTGTAGCTACGGCCTGTAGGTTGTTAGTAAATCCAATTACCAATCCAAAGCAGCGTCTTAGTCACCTAAACACGCGACAATGTGTATGCGTAGTCAGTAAAACAATGTTAGTTGAAAGGGATCAGTACTGGTATTATTGATGGAGGGGATTTATAAAGCGTGCTTCTGAGATGGCTTCAGCTCGGAAGATATACATCCCAAGTTCTTCAAAGGAAGGAAAGCAGGCTAAAAATTAGATATATTGTAACGTGTTTCGTTACTGAATACGCCGTAGAGATCGTTAATTGCTTTATTGAACAATCTACAAATATCGGCTACAATTAATTATAACACAGTTGCGGGTTTCCACACTTTACAAACCCCACAACCAAAGTCTTCACGTATTAATAACGCACTCCAAATATAACTGGTTATCACGAACTATCACTGATTCTCGCACGCGCGTCTGTAGCTCGTAACTTGCTAACTGAGAACTCGTTGATAACACACTGACACTCGCTTGCTGCTCAGCCGGCTTTTATTCCGTTCGCTGTTGCTAGTTGTGACGTGGCGTATAGCCTAGCAACGCTGTTACCGCTGTTACTACCGTCGTTTCTCGCAACAACTGTTTACCCGCGCTGCCTAGCAACCCGCGGTACCCTTGGTGACGTCATCGCTGTTGACTCGCGTTGCATAGCTACCAGGTTGCGGGGACTCGGCTAACTTCGGCTCACTTCGGCTTCGCTCGGCACATCACGGCTGGCGGGGGGAGGGGCGTCATCCATAGCTCGACATGTCACAATATATTTTTCTTCAATTTCAACATTAAAAGACTCGAGGTCTTAACAACGAACTTGGCCTACTGTTAAGAGTTCTATCTTCTGTTATATAACACCGTATAGTCCATTTCGGAGGAACATGCCGTCTTCATGTTTAGAGTCAAAGAATAAACCAAGCACGAAACCGGCATGAAGCGGACAGCAAGCTTGCTATCTGCTTTCTGCTGGTTCCTTGGTTGGTTTATTCTTCGACAATGACGATGAAGGCGACATATTCTTCCGAAACGTCGGATTATTTTGAACGGACTACATGGCGTTATATCCCTGAATACAGAACCCTCTATAATCACCGCTGTGAGAACCTCAAATCCTACATAGGCCTACTTTCCTAGGAAAAGTCAGCGCCAAATAATCAGCCGAACATGCCAACACACTGCCAGGGCTAGACGTTCCACAATCCCACTAGTGGAAGAAGATAATAGAATAATTAAATAAAAGTTCCATTTCTTCCTTACACAGATTCCAAACACGCAATCGGAGGCACGCATACAAGTACACTTGTTCAGAGCAACCCCCCGACACCTGGGCCGGTAAAAACAAACGATGGTGCCGTTGTTTGCAAATACAATGTACTCACATCAAGAAGGTCCATTAGCGAGGCGCGAGTGGCGGGATTGGGCCTGACCATGGACTCCAACACAGACTTCAGGTTCCCTTGTTCATGCTCGGCGCCTTTCACAACCTGCTGCAGGCTTTTGCCAAGCGAGAAGATCAGCATCTGTAAATTCACAAACATAAAACTGAAACTTTATTCCACACATCTCAAGACGTCACGGATGCAGTAAATTCATACCTTCACGTCTGTCGTATTGCAAACGGGACACAGTACTTGTTTCATACGAAAGTCAGCCATCAGTTCTCTGTGGAACATAGACACAGGCAACGCGAATTGCTCGACATCGTGAATAGAATCGTTTGCTGAACAGCTTACACAATCAAACTTCCGTTCCTCAAATTTACTGAGGGTTGTAACTGAGAATGATGTTATAAAATCTTTATAACGGCCTATAATATTGTCTTATATGTCTATAAAGTGCGTCGTTTCAGTGAATACACACGCCGTCTTATAAAACGACCAATAAAATACACTGGATCGTAAAACGTCATCCGTCATAACTTGAAGAGAAACATAATACCATAGATAGCTATTTACGAGCCTCTATGCTTTGAACATGATATGAAATACGTCTACAAACCACCAAATGTTTCTCACCAGTTTCAAAGGACAGTACTCCCACACCTCCGCAAGGCTTGCCCTTCTGAACTGACCCTCTACACGTAGTAAAGATAAGCAGAGGCACGCACACAGAGAGACTACACAGAATAACACCGGTACAGTACTAGAAACAAGAAGTAGCCGCTGCAGCACTATAGACATAGGGCGAGTAACCCTGACAATTTTAAATTTTAAAATTTAAAAGATTTTAAAATTAGAACCGAAGATTTTATAAGTGCTAATTCAGAGAAATCAAAATTGACATGTGTAAATAACAAAGATATCAACGAAGTAGATTTTGGTAATGACGAAAGGAACAATCAGGAAGACCTGTGTTTTTAAATTTTAAATGTTAAACTAAGTGCAGTGTGACAGATACGTGAGTAACACCCCTGATGATGGCCGTTTGTAGCCGAAACATGTAGTGTGTAGGGGAGAGCAAAACGAAAGACCTACAATATATGGTTGCACTGAAGACGGAGTTGGTATCATGTATCGTGTTGAGTGCAACAGGATGCTTAAATATAATATTGTTTATGTTTGTTTTTGTTTTCACATGTTAGGTGTTCATTGAAGGGTTCGTAATAATTACGTTAATGGGTGGAGTAGGCGCTATCCACAGATGTTTAACTGGTGACAATTAGGTGGGATATTCTAAATTTTGATGGTGGCTGTCAGGTGCCACAATAAAACTGGTTGGCAGCACTGGCGATATAATAAGAATCTGGATGTCGCAAAGGTGCGCCACAACAATTGGCGACAGCGTTGGGATACGATAAGGATTTGGGGCTTCCCATGGCGAATGACACTTCTGACACAACAATAGGTACACGACTACCTCTCACCATACAAAATTTCACATCCATGTCTACAATAATTACTCAGCTGCAACCATTAAATCTAAAACAAAGTAATTCTTTCCGCGCGATTTCCATTTTACTCTCCTTTACCCTACAAGCTCTTGGTACATTAACTAAGTAAAAACATAGGCCGCGCCATAGCTCAAGCGGTTAGTCGCTGGCTCCCCACCGCGGCGGCCCCGGTTCGATCCCGGGTCTCGTCAAGTGGGATTTGTGGTGGACAAAGTGGCGCTGGGGCGGGTTTTCGCCCAGTACTTCGGTTTCCTCTGCCATTCTTCATTCCACCAAATTATCCATCATCATAATCACTCGGGGCAGGCCACAATAGGCTAATCAGTGGCCGCCGTGCCGAGTGGACACAGTTGGACTCCTCCCCTCACTAAGCGAATTAAAAAAAAAAAGTAAAAACATGAACGTCGCAAAGCAGAACATGCCCTCCGGCTCCCGGATCGCACAGCAACCGACCGAGTTACGTTCGGTATGATTTTTTTTACTTTATTTTGAAAAATAAATGTATATACAAAAAGGCCTAGGTTATGGCCGTCTGGCCCTCTGTAGCACAGTCTTATAAGCATCTTATTCTATTACAGTGGTCACCCCGCGAATTTTTAATGCCTCATAACTTAAGTCTAAGAGTATACTATTAACATATTGTACATCTATTGCTTTTTATTTTTTATATAAATTTTGAAATGTTGTTTATGAAGTAAGAGACGCCAAATATCTTTTTTTCCTCTAGCCTTAAAAGCTCTGCAAGTGACCTTGGGTATTCTTTTTTTGCTGTTCTCACACAAAATGTCCATCATTGTTGCCCTTTGGTCCTCGTACCGTTTACAATCCCAGCAGTTAGGAGTATGCTCCTCCGTTTGCAGCCCCTCACCAAAGCTGCATTCGGCCGTGGACGCAAAGACAGATTTGGAATGGCCTGCTCATACGGTTTATTGACACGAAGGCACGATTCATTCACGAGCCATTCCTGAGTTTAATATGATCGATGTTTTACAACGACTGCTGCCATCTGGTAAGTGAGTTACGCACTATGTCCATACGCGGGAACAGCAGCAGTCAAACGAACCGCTGTACGATTATTCCGAGCAATAACCTACGTTATAGCTAAACGGAACGACCGTCTTGAATACAAACACTACATTCACTTTTTTACGTAATCTGCTGCTACGTAGAGTACGCAACCGTACTGTCATTCTAGCAACCATGACGCTCGTTGGTCCCATGGTGTAATGGTTAGCACTCTGGACTTTGAATCCAGCGATCCGAGTTCAAATCTCGGTGGGACCTTGGAATATTTTAAACTTTTTTTCAGGTAACAAATATAAGGAAATATTCCCAATATTACACCAAACTTTTCACGAGAATCACAAAATATTCGTTCATTATACATTAGGTTTTGGCTACATAATTTATTTCGAAATTCTGGGCTAATTAGTTATGTGGGTTCTAAAAATATTAAGTTCAGAAAACTGGAGTCCCTCATTACGGATACTTTAAGGAGCAACATCATGGGTAGAAGGGCCACGCAGGGCCATGTTATTCTTCATACTCCGTTACGCTGTTTCATTTACATAATCCTAGCGTCCCGCAACAGGATGTCCATAGATTAACCACATGCTCTTGGGATTATTTCGACTCGAAAAATTCTAATGAACACGTGTCCGACTTGCAACAGTTTGCGAAGAAAATGAGAATGAACATTCTGTTGCATTTGTAATTTTTACATTATTTACATTTAATTTTAGATTACATTATGTGCTGAGGCACTATACTACAAGCCAGAAGGTCGCGGATTCGATTCCTGATGAGGTCATGAATTTTTCAATTGACCTATCCTTCCAGACGCACTATGACCCTGGCCTGGACACAGTCTCAAACAGAAACGAGTACCATGAATCTTCCTGGGTGGCTAAAGGGCGGCCGGCGTATAAGGCCGAGAACCTCACCGCCATCTGTGAGCCGACTGTCTAGAAAATATGGGAGCCTCAACGTCTCACAACCCCATGGGCCTCCACGGCAGGGAAAGTTTTACCTTACTATTATTATTATTATTAGTAGTAGTAGTAGTAGTAGCAGTCATTAGCATCTCATACGGGAAAAGCTGTCACTGGTGTTGGAAGATGTTCCTCTGCTAAACAAAGCAACAGATGGGGTTGCAACATGGCGCACCTACTCGTTCCAGTAGGCAGGCAGGTGACTGCGTATCCGTACCAACACTTTCCAGGACTCAACTGTGCATTGACACTGAGGGCGGCATTTTTTCGAGTCATATAAATAATGTAACTGAACACCACCACCGTCACGAGTGTAGTCGCTATAGGGACTGGCTACGGGCTGGACGAATGATGGGTAGGAGTTCGAGTCCAGGTAGGGTCAACCCAGTCTCCTATACAATGGGTACCGGTAGCCCTTTCCCAAGGGGTAAAGCGGTCGGGGTATGAAGTTGACCACTCACTTCCAGATAATTTCGAGGCCCAGAAAATGCGGATCTATACATCTACTGCCCTATACGCCTTCATGGCGTAGCGCTTAATTCGTTGAGCACAGGGAAAATTTACCTTTTTACCACTATTACTAACTCTACTATTAATTTTACTACTACACGTACAACAACAACAAAAACAACAACAACAACTACTACTACTACTACTACTACTACTACTACTACTACTACTACTATTTATGTGTCGAGTCAACAGCCGCAAGGCCAATTACAGACAGAGCACAGGGTAGATATAAGTAATTACATTATGGGCAAACACAACATAAAGTCAAAGGCAAATTACAGGCAAGCACTGGAGGATGTGAGAGGTCGCATTTACCTCCCAGGAAGATTCCTGGTGCTCATTTCTGCTACAGGATGAGCCGACCTCCGGGTTGGAATGATTAGATCAATTGAAAAGTCCAATAATCTCAACGGAAATCGAACCAGCGACCTTCCGGCTTGTAGCATACTGCCTCAACTAACAATGTAACCCAAATTACTCGTAAGGAGAAACGATGTCAAAGTTATAAATGCAATAGAATTCTCATTCTCATTTTCTTCACAAACCGTCGCAGATCGAACCCATGTTCTTTAGATTTTCTTTTGACTCGAAACGATCCAAGAGCACGTAGTTAAGCTATGGACATCCTGTTGCGAGACACTCTGTATGTAAGACATCGGTCCGAAGAGCAGTAAATTTCCACTTAGAAAAAAAAGTTTAATTCATTGAGCAGTTAAGAAAGAAAAGTCCATAACCCACAACTGCAATTCGGTAACTGGACAGATTCCATAAAACACTGAAGAGTTAGTTCCCAGCCGTACTCATAACACCTACTTATCGGCTGTGTAGATTTCTTGTCGTACAGAGTTATTAATTTTCTTACTGCCATTTTTTGTGAATAAATTATTACTTCAGAACAGATTCTAACTACATTAAAACCCCATCATTTTGTTATTATTTTATTGCTAGTGGGGCGGGACTAAGTCCCTTGTACGGCGGCCACTTCTGGCCTATTGTACCAGCCCCAGATGATAGGTGAGGGTGATTGTGGAGCAATTGGTGTAATGAAGATTGGCAGGGGAAACCGAAATACTCGGAGAAAACCTGCCCCAGCGCCACTTTGTCCACCACAAATCCCACTTGACCA